CACAGTGTCATTGCTTACATAACTGCAATAAAATCTGGGCTTTACATATATCATGTTTTTACATATATATTTTTAACACATATGTATATATGTTAATATATATATGTTTATTTTTGCGTTATTACATCTCTCAGCCCCAGTATAAATCTGTCTGCAGCTGACTTTTATTCCCGGAGCTGTGCCTGGCTCTCCCACCTTCTCCCTCCCTGGACACACACACACACACACACACCTTTCCGTTCCAGGTTAAGCCTTTTACCCCTCCTAAAAAGTTCCAAAGCTCCGCCGAAGCCTCTCCGGGGGTTTGGAGCAGGCGAGGACCTGGCGCGGAGCCCACGGGACGGCACCGGCTCCCAGCGCAGCCCAGCCCGGGGCCACCTTACCTGCGAGGAGCACCCAGGTGATCCCCAGCAGCTCCGCGGGACGGCACCGCAGCATCTGCCAAGGAAAAACAGCCCCGAGTTTCCCTGATTTCGAATATCCCCTTGGAATTCCCCCGCTGGGATGAGAGCCCGGGTGAGGCTGGACCGTCAGGTTCGCCACCGTGAGGACGGATCCCCCTCGCCGTGGGTATGCCCAGCCTGTTTTGCTGCCGATAGGTCCTCTCCCTCCGTGCCACCTCCTCTTCCCGGGAGCCTTCCTGGCAGCAGTGACAGCTCCCGCTCTTGTCCCCGCGCTCCCGGGGATGGGAAGGGAAGGCAGAGCTGCGACGGCTCCGGCACCGCGCGGGGACCAGCGGCTCCCGCGGCTCTGGGGCAGGGCAGGGGGGTCCCACAGGAATGGGAATTACAGGAGACATCCCTCACCATTTCTATGCCCCGAGGGCAGAAGATCCATCCCTATTCCTATCCCACAGCTCCTCTCCCACCCCATCCCTGGAGCTCAGCTCCCGCAGTGCAGTTTGAACTCGCTCCCACCCCGGTTTGGGGGGCAGGGGCTTGGCCTGGCTCCAAAACACTCGTCCCACTGGGAGCAGCTTTCCCCTCCACCTTTTGGAGGTGGGCTGGGATCATCCATGTCCCACCGGCTTCCTGCAAAGGGAATTTCAGTTTAAGGAAGAGACGCTCCTGGGATCAGGGCCTGGGGACCAAGTGTCATCTCCAGACTGAGGGTGCAGAGGGATGAGGGGCTGGGGAAGGTTTGGGCTCTGCCCCCGAGTGCTGGGGAAGCTTTCCTGCCCTGCTGAGCACAGCCAGACCCTGTGACTCCCATGGAGCTCCAAAGGCAGATGCTGGGATAGGAGAGCCCTGGGGGAAGCATTAGGAGAAAGGGGGGGGATGTGGATGGTTGGAGAGCACCAACACGGTGGCACCCGTTGGATCCATCAGCCCCGGCCACCAGGCAGGGAGGGAACCCAGCCCCCAACTCCCACCTCCCAAAGCACCTCCCACCATGTGCCCAACACTCACCTTCCCATTCCTTTTCCCGCTTCCTGACTTTTTCTTTCAGCACCTGCCTCCTTACCTTTCCCCCACTGTTCCTCAATTAGTCACATCCATGGAATCTCAGAATGGTTTGGGTTGGGTGGGACCCTAAAGCCCATCCTGTTCCACCTCCTGCCATGGGCAGGGACACCTTCCACTACCAGGCTGCTGCAAGCCCCAAATGAGGAGTGAAGCTAAAAAAGGAAACAATTTTCAGCTGGGGTAGAAGCAACTTCTGTTTCACCCGAGTCCTGTGAGGAGCCAAAGGCACCAGAGGAAGGTCAAGGGGTTGCATCAAAAGCTGCACCAGAGGAATTTTGAGAGCTGGGAGTGAGAAGGGGGTGTGGGAGTGCACTGTGGGAAGGCAGAAAGCTCTGGGACACACTGGAGGGAAAATGAGGTGGTTTGGTTTCACTATAGGACTGAGGACTCTGGGAAGCCCCAAAAAACTGAAGGAGGGGCTGCATTGCACAGCCAAGGGGTCTCAAGGGAGGAATTGGGGTCCTGGGGGGACAAGGGAGCAAACAGGGATGTGGGGGGCACCGGAGGGCAAATGGAGCAGCCTGGAGAGGAGAGAGGGTGAGTGGAGGCAAGCGAAGGTGTGTGTGGGGTGGGGGATTGCTCAGGGTGCACAAGGTGAGGGAGGGACAGCCCCAGTGGCAAAAGGGACCAAAGTGGGGGCCCTGGGATGTGCTGATGGGAACGGGGGATCCCGGGGTACACACCAACACCGGGTCCCACCAGGCTGGGCCGGGCTCAGCTGCTTTCAAACCAGCTCCACTTTCCTCCAGGCACCCTCGGATCCCCCAAACCGAGCTCTCCAATTCCCTCACATCATCCCTGCTCCCTGCTCCACCCTTTGCCACGATGGACACGGCATCCCACGGCTCCTTAAAAACGTTCCCAGCCACAGAGGCTTTGAACAGCAATTCCGGGGCTTCTCCAAAGGAATGGAGAGAGCAGAGCAGAACAAACAGCGCCGGCACCACCGGGAACTCCGAGACCGCACTGGGATGGGACTCGTGGATTCTTTTAAACACCAATTTCTGGCAGCTTGTGCCATCGTGTGGCCAGGGAAAGTAGGAACGAGGAGAAGCCAACTGGGACGCGCCGGGTTATGGTTCCTCATGTGCATTCCCCCCTCGGCTGCGTAAACCAGACTTATCTTCAAGCTCATCAGTGCTTAAATACATCTTTTGTTAAGCTGGTGACTTTATAAATGATTTATTTGAAGAGTCGATTTCTTAGTTTGGGAAAAATCTTAAACACATCCATTGGATCTCCAGAGTGCTGGGAAGGAGGAGAAAGCAGTTCAGTGACTGGCTGAAGGAACAGGAAAAGCTGGATCACCAACCCTGACCCGCTGTCACGGCAGCCCCGCTCCAGGACACGGCCCAGCAAACACCTGGATGGGACAGGTGGCACCTGCCACCAGGTCCTGCTCCTTCACAGGACTTTTGGATGCTCACAAGCTGCCCAGGAAGAATTTAGTCCTCTTGGGAAGCGGGGAATGGTGAAACAAGATGGAAACACAGCTCTCCCCACTCCCTGTTTATGGTGGGGGTAGGTAAAGGATTTGAAATATGAGGAAATGTGCTTCTTCTGCATTCACTGGGGACAATTTTCCCCCAAAATAGGTTCCAGAGTCCTGGTGAGGAGGGGGTTGGCTTGGAGCTGGTTCATAAGGGGTTGGTGTCTGCAGAGCCCAGCCCAAGTCACCACATTCCTTGTCACAAAGGCACCTCTGTCACAGCAGTGTGGTCAGCACCCTTTGGTGGGGTCTGCCTTGTGCCATGGAGTAAAAACAGATTTCCAGCAGATTTCCAGCCTGCAGCTGATAAACATGGAGTTCTGAGCAGGGGAAGGAGAAGCTGATCTCTCCAAGGGAAGGTCCCACGGTACCCAAGTGTTTCCCTCAGATCCCAGAGGCACAGGGAGGAAAAAAGCTCAGGAACCCTTAAAGAATTTAAAGAGGGTTCCTAATACAGATCAAGAACCCTTTGTCCCCTCCTATTTACAAGTAACAGACTGTTTTGGGCACCAACTCTTCCAACAGCAGAAGCACAGGGTGGAAGCAGCTCAGGAACATGGAGCTGGGATGGGTGAGGGACACCACATGCTCCTGCTGGGGTTTGCTGCTTCAACAGGATTAATGGAGAGTTGTGAAACTTCCCCTTTCAGTTGTGCAGGTGGAACTGGCACCTAAGGAGAACCTATAAAGAAGAAATACTGGGATCTGTCCATTCAGTGTTTGGATCAAATGAGGGCAGCAAGTTCAGTGCCTGCACTGTGGGCACAGAGCAGCTCACAGAGCACAGCCAGGAAGGGCTCAGCCCTGCTCTGAGGTCTGGTCAGGACAGAGGGAACACCCCAAAAAGGATGAAAAATAATCAAATCCTAAAATGTCCTCTTGGTTCTGAAATCCCAATGTTCTTGTAACAAAAGGATTTGCTTTTGTTCCTTACCCCGTGGCCTTTCAGTGTGCCAGATCCCAACTTACCCGCCCATCTCCTGGGAGCTGAAAGGCACTTCTGATACCGTCAGAACAGGAAAATTTGGGGAAAAAAAAAACCACATTCCCAAAAGGTCAGGTTTGTGCAGCAGGCAGCGTGATGACAACCTCACACAAATTCCTTAGGAAAGGATGGGAGAGAAGGCACAGTGGGAAGTTTGTCAGCAAATACTGTGGCTGCTGAGTGTCACCCTCGACGCAAACAACAGGCAGAGGGAACACCAGCACAGCAGTATTGGAAGTCAAGGAGAAGTGGGAATTCCACCCCTCATCTAACATGATCATCTTTGCTTCCCAACATGCAGATCTTGCTGCTTCCCTTTTCCTGCTCTAACCTAAATCTCCTCAGAAATGCCCAGGATCTCTCCAGGCAGTATGGCTTGGATGAGTGACAAGGAGAAGATCCCAAAGATTTCCACTCTGCTCTGCTAAAAAAATTCCTAAAATTGGCAGCTGAAAAAAAAGGCTGAACAGGGAATAATGCAAAGCTTCTAAATCCTGAAGGCACTTGCTTGGAGGAGCATTTCCTAAGGTGGGGTTTAACCAGAGCTGAGGCACAATGGAAAGGCCAGGCTGGGAGCACAGACAGCAAGAGCTGACTGTGCTCAAAGGCAGTCCCATAAAGATCCCAAAACCTTTGGCTTCCACCTGCTCCCTCTCCTGAGCAGGCACTGGGAGCTGCCTGGAGAGGGTGGAGATGTCTGAGGTATGTGCAGTGTCTCTGTCATGGGGAGGCACCAGCAAGTCGAGCTTGGAGCACAGGGAGGGGCACCAGCATTCCTGTCCCACCACGGGGGTGGGATTGGGGCTGCCTGCTCTTCCCATGAGTAGGACTGGGGGGCTGCCTGCCTCTCCTAGAGGAGGGACTGGGGAGCCCTTCTCACAAGTGGGATTGGGGGGCTGCCTGTTCCTCCTGGAGGTGGGACTGGGGAGCCCTTTGCACAAGTGGGATTGGGGGGATGCCTGCCCCTCCTGGAGGAGGGATTTAGGGGCTGCCTGCCCCTCCTCAGAGGTGGGACTGGGGGCTGCCTGCCCCTCCCCAGAGGTGGGACTGGGGGCTGCCTGCCCCTCCCCAGAGGTGGGACTGGGGGCTCCTGCCCCTCCCAGGGGCTGGGCTAAGCCTGCAGCCCCAGCAGCCGGGCCGTGTTGAGCACGTCGTCCCTGGTCAGGTAACAGCCGCAGAGCTGCCGGTACCCCGTGAACGCCTCCCGGCCGTGCAGGACACGCCAGTTATCCACAAACAGGGCCTGCAGGACAGGGAAAAGGTCATCAGCAGGAGAGCAACCATGGCAAGAGAGGTCCTGGAGATCCCTGGAGACGGGAAGAGCAGGTAAGGGAGTGCCATGGTAGGCATGACCCTCCTGCTCGACACTGTGAGGCTGCAGCCATGGGATCCAGCACAGCTCTTTCACCTGGAGCCAGGAGCTGTGCCTAGAAGATGACAGGTACTAAAACAGAAGAATTCTGGGCTGTTTCTCTGCTTCTCCACTGCAGAGGTTAGGCAATAGTTCACCAGCAACAGCCAGTGGCCATCTCAGAATCCAAGAATGGATTGGGTTGGAAGGTACCTTAAAGCTCATCCCATTCCATTCTTCTGCCATGGGCAGGGACACCTTCCACTAGCCCAGGTTGCTCCAGGCCCCTTCCAACCTGGCCTTGGACACTTCCAGGGATAGGGCAGCCAAAATCTCCTGCCTCTGCGGTCTCACCCATGTAAGGGGTCAACTATAACCTCAGAACTATAATTTAGTTCCATCAAAATAAACTTATCTTCTGGAAGAAGTTAAAGGCTGAACTCTACGTGTTTCATCCCCTTTGCTCCCGAGGGTCCTCATTTCAGTGACTGGAAAGATCTTACTTCTCTCTCCCAGCTGAGACTAACTTTCCTGAGGCAGAGCTTGACCTAAACACTTCTGCCTTACCTGGAAGCTCACATTCCTTTAGGACAGCAGGAACACACAGAGGCCACTACTATAACACAAGGCACCTCAGAGCAGCTGGAGGGAGGAAAGCTGCCACACGTGGAGCTTTAAGCTCAGTGGCAGGACACCCGTGGAGCATCCTGCTTCCTTCCCTGGACCAAACCCACATCATCCAGCTCCAAGTCCCACCTTGCCTGGCTTCAGCTTGACCCACAGCTCGTTCTCCGGCCGCCTGAGCTCGGTGGTGAGCGCGCGGTGGGCGTGGTACCAGCGGCGCACCACGTCGTGCGGCACCGTGTTGATGACAGCACGGTCGTAGTTGTTGTACCTACGGGGGGAAAAAGAGACAAGGGACGGCCCAGCATCACTCCAGCTGCTTCCAAGGGAACCTCAGGAGCCTGCAGGGTTAGTCAGTATTTAAGGGAGGATGCAGACATGACCAGGGAGGTCACGCTGCAAGAGCAGGACTATCGGGAATACGCAACACCGGGAGTAAGAGGAGTTTCCTGTCAAGGTAAACCTCTTCTTCCTGGTTTTCCATGGAAGGATGTGGTGAGTCTGAGGGTTGTTCAGACTAAAAGTGCAAAACAGTGCTGGACAACCTCCAGCACTGAGCCAAACTGGAGTTCCAAAAAAAAAAAATCAGCCCAAATTTCCTCTAGAAGGGATCAGTCTGCACTCTCCCTGTTCCCTGCATGCCAAGAGGGCTCCTAGGGGCTTCTCCAGACAAAGGTTGAATTCTTCTGCCGCTCAAAGGGAGGGCATGGAGCTGCAGGGAGGATGCCAGGAGTGAAAAATGAAAGCTCAGCACCGACCCCCACGTTTGTACGGGAGGTTCTGACGCTTCCTCTGAAGCGGGAGGGACACTCAAAAACATGCCCCTCAAAACCACCCTGTTTCCTCCCCACGAGCAAGAGGCCTCACGTTGGACGTTACCTGATCAGGTAGAGCTCGTTGTTCCAGGGGTACACGTTGAGCACGGGCCCCACCCCGATCATGTGGTTGTGGCAGCCCCCCACGTTCTCCACGTACTCGTGTTTCAGGGGCACTCTGCTGAGCAGCTCGAAGTGCTCCGGGGCCCGGCGCAGCACCTGCTCCGCCGCGTGGAAACCGTCCACCAGCAGCGTCCGCCCGCCCGTGCCCTCGTGCTTCAGGCAGTGGAACACCTGGATGCTGTTATGGGAGACACCACCCCAGAGCAATGACCTCGGCTGCCCGTCCCGAGGGCACGAGGTGCTGCCCCGTGGGCACAGAGGGCTGCTCCACCTGCCCCCGGCCGTTTCTCCGGGCCTCCGATCCCACACGTTTTGCTGCTTCCCAAAGCCACTGATGTGAGTCTGGGAGACTTTAGGATCAAGTTTGTGGCACCCAAAGTCCCAAACCTCACTCAAAGGAGGTTGTTGGCTGCTCCATCCCTGAAAGTGTCCAAGGCCAGGTTGGACGGGGCTTGGAGCAACCTGGGCTAGTGGAAGGTGTCCCTGCACATGGAGCAGGGTGGAATGAGGTGAGTTTTAAAGTTCCCTTCCAACCCAAACCACTCTGGCATTCCATGATTGTGTTCCAAGTCCATCCATGCAGCAGGACACAGAGGTTCAAAAGCATAAAACCAGCTTCCTGGAACAGCTCAGAACAGGATAGTTAAAAAATGCTGGATGTGCTGGGGAGGTGTCCAGGAACTACAAGGGGAGCCCAGGTAACCCTCATGCAAAGGCACATGTGTCATGGTCTCCCACAAGCAGTCAGAAGTCCCTCAGAAGAACCCTGGAAATGGCCTGTGGGAGAACAGGTGGAAGCACTGTGATCCCAAAGGGATCTAGGGACACAAAGAGAAGCCATCCAGCCACAGGGCAGGATTAGCTCTTCCCAAGTGAGGCTGTGAATTTGGTTAACATCCTAATGGGAAAAGAGCTGTAAGAACAGAGGAAGATGGAAGGTGTGAGATCTTTGGCTGCACCTGAGTTTTGGAGCAGCCCTTCAGAGCAGGAAAGGTGGATTGACCTGGGTGTACCTGGCTGTGCCCAGCCAGGCAGGAAGCTGCCTCTGGGGTTCTCTTTGGAAAGCCTGGAGCAGAGGAGTCCCAGTGAGGAGCTGACCTACAGGACATCCCCTCCCTAGTGGGAAGCCATCCAGCTCAGCTTTTGTCCTATTACTGCTCTGAAGCTTCTCTTCTCCTTCATCCAAGCAAGGCAGGCATTGCACTGCCAGGAAAAAACACACAGGAGTTGCCTCCAGCCACCTACTCCCAATTTTCACTTGCTGGAAAATTAATGGGGACCTTCTGGAAAAGCTTTTATCTTCCAATCTCCCTTGGGGGCCTGTTATCCCAGTCCCACAGCAGGTGATGTGGCAGGACCTGCCACCCCACCCTCACCTTTTCACCTGAGTGCTCTCCCCACCTTCCCCCCACAACAGCTTCAGGATGATTTTAGAGTCAGTCCAGGAGCACTGGAGCAAAGGACACCCCGTGCCTGGGGGCAACCAGCTCCTGGGGCAGCTCAGGGCACTGGGAAAGCCTCCAGAGCAGGCTCAGGTCCCTGAGCAGTGAGAAATGCTGCAGTCTCCCACAGCCTGGGGAGTTTCCCTTTAGAAGAGCTTAGGAAAGCCAGAAATTCCTGGTTTTCCTACACAACTATGATTTTGCAGAATCCCAAGCATTAATGGTCAGCCCTGCTCATTCAGTGATTGATGTACTCCAGTTGGCTGCAGGTGAGAAGACCCTACCTGAGGGGAACTCTTCCAAGTGGAAAAGAAAGGTATAAAAATAGCTCTGGATTCTGGTACTGAGCACTTCAGTCAAAGCTCTTCTGAAGGCTGAAGTTCTGATCACTAATTACTTCTTTTATTTGGCTTTGGGGAAGATTTTGTGAGCTCCCAAAACAAGTCAGCCAAGCAGGTAGGTCACAAAAGCACATGGGTCCTGCAGGTTCACGGGGAATAGGGAAGCAAACTAGATCTGGCTGGAAATGTGGGGCACTTCCAGATCCTCAAGGCCCAGTAAAATCCACTTACTTTGCTCCTGACACTGAGTTGCTCCAGAACAAACACTACCACCCAAAGCTTCCTGCCTGGCTGGGCCCAGCCAGGTACATCCAGGTCAATCCACCTTTCCTGCTCTGAAGGGCTGCTTCAAAACTCAGGTGCAGCCAAAGATCTCACACCTTCCATCTTCCTCTGTTCTTACAGCTCTTTTCCCATTAGGATGTTTACCAAATTCACAGCCTCACTTGAGAAGGGCTAATCCTGCCCTGTGGCTGGATGGCTTCTCTTTGTGTCCCTAGATCCCTTTGGGATCACAGTGCTTCCACCTGTTCTCCCACAGGCCATTTCCAGATGATTCCCCTCTTGGGAAAGCAGACAAAAAGAAAAAAGCTACAAAGTCAGTCTAAGTCATAGAATCCTGGAATCACAAAATGGTTTGTGTTGGAAAGGATCTTAAAAATCATGTCATTCCACCACCCTGCCATGGGCAGGGACACCTTCCACTAGCCCAGGGTGCTCCAAGCCCTGTCCAACCTGGCCTTGGACACTTCCAGGGATGGGGAAGCCTGTGCTGGTGGGAAAGGCATTGTTGTGGCCTCACTCCTGCCTTCTGCCTGTGTCTGGGAAGCAGCAGCAGCACAACATACCCACAGGGCTCCTGGAAGTAGGTGGTGTCCGTGTGCCGGTCCAGGGCCAGTTTGGTGTAGGCTGTGTCTCCCCGGGAGAAGTCAGAGGTGAAGTACCACATCCTGCCATAAATGGTCTCCCTGGAAAAGAGTTATGGAGCAACGTGGGGATAGGGCTGATCCCCTCTTGCATGCAAAGTTACTCCCCTGCATCCTAAGTACAGAACAATCAAAGTAAAACAACTTGACAAAATTTACAGTCAAGAGATAGTGCTTCTAATCCCTCTTCAAGCATTCAGATTCCTCTCTTTCCTCCCAAAAGGCTGGTGGTGACAAGTCTTGCTTCCTCTCCACAAATACAGATGTTTTCACACTGAGCATCATCCCCAGTCAAATCACTTCAGTGACACAAGGAGCTGCCCAAGTGCAGTTAGCCCTTCCTTGTACCCAATAATCCCATTTCTTCTTCCCAGGATCCTGTGTTTTCACCCATCTCATCCCTACAAACATACACAGGAGGGAAGGGACAGCAGTAGGGACAAACAGCACTCAGGGGCTACAGAGGGAGGATGTCTGGAGACAGAAGCTGGTTGGATATTCCCTGGAGCCCCTCATTCCTATTTGGAGTCACCATTCATTACAAAAAATCCCTCCTTTTCCAAGGCAAGTCAAACTGTTTCTGCAGCTTGGATAAAACTCCAAACTCCCTGCCCAGCCTGCCGTGCTGGTGGTGCTTTACACAAACACAGCAGACACGTTTCTCACTCTATTTTTCTTTACTGAGAGCTATAACCGGTTTTTGAAGTTCCTGACTCCCAGGGCTGGTTTTTGATGTCCCTGGCTCCCAGGGCCAGGCTGCCCTCCTGACCCCTCAAGTCATAACAGGAAATGTCTCTCCTTGCAAAGCTCTGCTCTTCCCAGACAGCCACTTCCTTCAGTCCCCACTCTCTACCCAGTCCCACTGTCACAAAAGTCATCGTGTGCTCCCGGGGCAGCTCCACAGCCCAGGGACTCCCAGCTCTGTCACAAAAGGGGGCAGATCCCACCGTGGGATCCTCCATCCCAGGTCAAGTGGGGCAGCTGGAAGCTGTAGAAGACCCAGAGCTTTTGCCTGCCAACCAGGCCGTGCCACACAATACACAGGATAAGGACACAGCACCTTTCCAAACACGGAGAAGACAAGTTCACCCTCCCTGGGACAGCCCCAGTTACCTGATGATGCTGATCCTTTCTGCCAAGATTTCCGTGTCCTCTTTGGTGGGAGCGACGTTCTCCACAAAAGCAATCCCGTAGAGCAGGAAGTTCTGCAGGAATTCCTTCAGGCCCTCGTCCGTCTCCAGGAAGCTCCGGCAGTCAACGGAGGGGACCTGGGCTTGCCTGTAGATCTCTGCATTCCAGAGGATCCGGGGGTGCATCACCTGCTTCTTCTGCCCCTCGTAGCTGTTCTTCACCAGCCACTCCAGCCCATACCGTGTCACGTGTCCGTCCGGCCCTGGGACACGGGACAAAGGGCACAGTCACCCCTGAGCAGCCCGGGATTGTGGTCATGGCATCAGTCAGGACAGGCCTCACCCCGCTCACCTGCCTGGACATGGGCTCTCTGCACCCTGGTGCCACCCAAAACATTATTAGTAAGGCCACGAGTCCTGAAAAAATTGTTGCTGCAACAACTCCCTCCCAATTCAGGGCTGCAGCAACAACTGCAAATTCAGAGTGGCTGCAACTCCCTCCAAAACTTCAGGGCTGCTGTAACCACTTCCAAATTCAGGGCTGCTGTAACCACTTCCAAATTCAGGGCTGCTGTAACCACTTCCAAATTCAGGGCTGCAGCAATTCCAAATTCAGGGCTAAGTGGTGCAGCCTCCGTGGTTTTGGTTGACAGGATTCCAAGGAGAAGCAAATCTCTGAAGTCAAGACCTTTAATAAAGGTAAGCTCCACCAAAAGGAAGAAAACAGGTGGGAAGCTGAGGAAGAAGGGCAGAAAATGGGCATTGTGATCAGGGATGACACCATCTTCAACACAACCGTGTCTTGACCCATCTGCTCACCACCTGCACTTCTGGGGTGCTCAACCAAACCAAGCAAACACCCCCACACTGCACACACATATTTCTACATAAAAAAAGGGCTGGGGGAGGAAAACCAGATACAATTTAAGGCTGAGGTGTGTTTACAGTAAGAGCAGCATTTAAAGCCTGCTCACAGCTCAGTACCTTCCCAGCCAGCCACCGATTTTGGGATAACGCCGCCCCGTCCCGGCAAAGCCGAGTGGGATCCATCAACCAAACCAGGAAGGGCACAGGTGCTGTGGCACCTACAGGTGCTGTGGCACTCACAGGTGAGGAAGAGCGTGCTCTCGTCCACCCGCACGGCCTGGGGTCGGATGGCCAGGTCCACGCTGGCCGTGTCCAGGCTGCGCTGGTTGGTCTTGGCGTTGTAGCAGGAGGCGGAGCGGCAGTGATCCCGCAGCCACACGAAATCCAAGCGCATCAGGGTGGTCCCATACGTGAGCTCTGCAAAGGGTGGGAGCAGAGGATGCTTTGGGGCAACAGGGAGAAAAACCAGAGCCCAGAAGGCAAGCCCAGAGCCCACGCGTTGTGGTGCCGCTTACAGGGGACGCAGAGGCGCCTCTGGATGGAAATTGTCACATGAGGAAGACCAGGCAGGACATCTTAGCAAAGGCCTGGCTGTCAGGGATCTCACCAGCTTCCCTTCTTATCAAGTCTACAGGACATCTCAAAGAACCATCCCAGAATGGTCTGGGTTGGAAGGGACCTTGTGGTTTATCCAGTTATACCCTCTGCCACAGGCAGGGACACCTTCCACTAGCCCAGGTTGCTCCAACCCGACCTAGGACACTTCCAGGGATGGGGCAGCCACAGCTGCTCTGGGCAACCTGTGCCAGGGCCTCCCCACCCTCACAGGGAAGAATGTCTTCCCAATATCCCATCTAACCCTGCCCTCTGTCAGTGGGAAGCCATTAAACTGCAACATCCCCTCCTGCAGTGGGAAGGAGCATGGCTGACACTCACTCTGTGCCCAGACCTCCCTCCATCATCTCTTCAACAAGTGGTAAATTCAGAGCTGCACATCACAGAGTTGTAGAGCCCCAGCACAGGAGTGCAGAGAGGAGTCAACCAAAAAAATCATTAAACCTCTCCCTGTTCCATCTTGGGACAGTTCGGGAATACTCAAAGCCCTTTAGAAGGGCCAGCACAGGCAACAGGAGAGCCCTTCCTGCTCTAGTCCCACCCAGCTTTGAAATTCAGGTATCTGAGGTCACTTTGCAGTGAGAAAACTACAATATCCTTTCTGGGGGCCACTGTAAAGTGCTGAGCAACTTCCTTTGCTTCCAAGTGACTCAGAGCACCAAGATCTAACTGGCCTCAGGAGCCATCACCCAGGAGAACGTGCACCAGTGGGGGCAGAAGAAGCGGGAACACGCCAGATCCTCCCCGCCAGGAGAGCCTGAGCACAGCCCAGAACACGCTGCCTGACAGGGCAGGGCTCAGATGCACTTTTTGAGCTGGAATCCCTGGATTTGACTTCTGATTTAGCACTGCCTCGCTTATCATAAAAGACTTGCCGCCAGCAGACGAGCCTGCTCCGTCCCGCCTCTGGGAATTCTCAGAGGGAACCAGCGTGCTGGTGATTTCAGAAGGGTAAAAAAAAAAAATGCATCACTCGCAGGGAACGAGGTCTGGAAACTCTCCCTGCTCTGCCCAGGCAGGCCCAGCAGCAGGAGCAGGCACACCTACCGAGGTGGTCGCC